CTGAGAGATGGAGAGCTGCCATGACTACCACTCAGGAAGACATTCTGTATTGGTTGGGTGAGGTGGAAGCCAGTGCTCACAACGGATAGCTTTCTCACAGAGGGTTTCTAAGATCTTGTCTGTATGGAAGTTGGAGGCTCTGGGATGTGATCCCAGAGCACTTGGAGTGGAGTGGATGCTTGTGTCTGAGGCATGCCTAGGAGCCCCAGAAACCCAACCAGATGTCTTCTGGCTCCTTCTAGGAGCTGTCCAAGATCACGATGCCAATTGCCTTCAATGAGCCCCTGAGCTTCCTGCAGCGGATCACTGAGTACATGGAGCATGTGTACCTCATTCACAAAGCCGCGAGTGAAACCCAGGCCCTGGAGAGGATGCAGGTGGGCACTGCATGTGACTGTGAGGACGGTCCTGATGCCAGAGCTGTCTGACTGACTGACCCCTTAGTTGTAGGGACCCAGGTGTCTGGCCAGAACTCCTAGCTGTCAGCCTCACAGAGTTGGCTTCCCTCTGGCATCTCAACGCCACTGCCTCATGTGTGTGTGTGCTTATGTGGTAGGCATTTACCTGTACCTGTGCATGTGTGTATGTGGGAGTGTATGGACCAGAGTGCCAGTGTATAAGACAGACAGACACATCAACATTGTTTCATCACCTGAAGGCTATGCCGCCTGTGGTGGAGAAAACATGTTCCCTCTTTTTGTGGCTTTGAGGAAGTTGTGTGAAACCATGGTGTTTCCTCAGAAGTTCTGTAATCTTAAAAAAAAAATTGTGAAAAATAATTAAATAAATGTGAAAAGCCATTGTGAGTGGAAACCCGAGAAGTCAGCAGAATGGAAGTGACGCTGACTGAGTGCCTGTGATTTATGCCCTGTGGGGAGTTTACTCATTTGCTGTCTTGGCTGAAGCTGTTGTAATCCATCTTTGAATTGTTTGTAGTCTGTAGCTGCCTTTGCAGTCTCGGCTGTGGCTTCCCAGTGGGAGAGAACTGGCAAACCCTTCAACCCACTCTTGGGAGAGACATATGAGTTGATCAGGTAAGGAGAGTTCATCATGAATGTCTTGCAAAAGGGCTGTTGGATGACAGAAGAGCTCAGTTCTCTGTATAGCATTGATTCCTCAGATCAGGATAGACGTTGGAGTGAGGAGCTACTGAAGTGTTTGGAGTGCTGTGGTGAGGAGGCGTTCACACAGATGGGATGTGATGGAGTAGAGCCCTGGTGCCATCAGAAGGGTTGTCATAGAGTCTAGAGCAGGGAGCTCAAGGAGGGTGGTCATGTCTGTAGACCTAGTGGTATGTGGGTACGACATGGCCAAGACATGGGAAGTCACAAGTTTTCAACAACAACAAAAAATGGAACCAGGACTACTAAGTAGGACTGTGCCATTTGCTGCGGCACTTTGATGAGAGAGAAATAACCCAAAGAGAGGAGAAACTGCTGAAGTCGGTGTTTAGTCCATGCCTGTGTTGCAGGACAGACCCCAAGAGTTAGTCTATGAATGTTTACTGAAGTGCCTTTGTGTAGTTTCTTCTGGGTAGTATCACACCTCCTGGAGCCCTTAGAATGTGAGATTTCTAGGGTAGTGGGGACAGGGCAGGACAGATGGTGGTAAATGCTCCTACACATGAGCAGTGTGTAACCCCTCCATCCTCATCCTTGGACTTAGTCCAAGGTCTCTGAGCCTGGACCCTGAATCCTAGTTGATATGAATGGTGATGAGCCTCTAGAGGGCTGGACTGGGAGATTGTTGCTACCTGTTTGTCAACTCTGGATCTACTGCAATTATGCAGAAAACTGTCTTGGAGATGCTGCTATGGTGGCAACATTCCAACCACATGTCACATACCCCTGGTGCGTTTTTACCTCAGCCTTGCCTGAGCCTCCAAGGACTCACTGAATGTGTACAGTTCCTAATAAGCTCATGTGTGCTTTCCAGGGTCATCCTTAGTCTGCTACTCAGGGACCTATCATTCCATGTTGCATGTGTGGACAGTATTGTGTTGTACTTATGCCTGGAGATTACAGAGAACAACAGGGTAGTTTAGTAGTTAGATTTTCTCTGATGTGGAAAGGAAGTTACTGGAAGGATTTAAATAGGGTATTCTCATTAGCTGGCATAACGGTTATTTGCTACAGGCCATGGGGCTGCAGGCAGGAGGGCCAGCACCTGCCATCTGCTCTGATATCTTTTCTGTAGACTTATTCTGCCACTGCCCTGGAATCAGGGTCAGCTGGTAATCTGGGGAATTCACTAAATGGAGTCTGTTGGTGTTTTGGCCATGATAATGTTCTTTATAGAACATGGCAATGCTGGAAGTAGAAAACAGATGTAACCTGCCAAAGACAAATGGTATCAACATCTTAATAGATTTTTCTTGTGTTTGAGATGCTAATTTATGACTTGCATTGTATCATGATTATTTTTCCTTAGCTGGGCGTGGTGGCACATGCCTTAATCCTGTCACTCGGGAGGCAAAGGCAGACAGATCTCTGAGTTTGAGGCCAATCTAGTCTACAAAGCAAGTTCCATGACAGTCAGGCATGACTCAAAAACAAAAAAAAGCCATAATTAGCCAGGCGTTGGTGACACACGCCTTTAATCCCAGCCAGCCCTCGAGAGGCAGGGGCAGGCGGATCTCTGTGAGTTCAAGACCAGCCTGGTCTAC